CAGAACCAGACTTTCCATAGGGATAAAAGAAAGGACCATTTCAGTGGTTATGATTGCATTACATAATTAATTGTCCCATGAGGTTGAGTTGTTCCTCCTCCTTGTTTTACTAGTTGATGAAAAACATTTTTAGTCTGACAATCTGTCAGTTTACCAAATTCCATATCAATTGTTTTTGCTAGTTGGCTGAGCCTGTTTTTAAACTCATACTGTTATTTTTATAGCATCCTGATTTACTATGATCCTGTGAAGAGACAAGGGAGTAAATTATAAGAAAACCCTTGTCCTCTTTTAAAACAAGAAAGTGCCCTTATTTTACAACACTTCTTTTCTGGCTCAAGTGAATTTTGATTGTGGGCCCAGCATCTTATCTTTAGTCGCTCTATTCACTCCTTATAAATAGCATTTCTAATGTGTGAGGAAAGACAATTTCATGCATTCTGCTTTTTCTCCAAGAATGAACTCCAACTTTGCAAAAAGCTAGTGGCAAAGCAGCTCCAGCTTTAAAGCATGGTCCTGATGTTGAATAGTCAGGAAACAAACAAAGGAAGCAGTAGTTGAATACTTTGGAAAAGAAAAGGAAAACAAATATTTTGGGCATAACAAGTAATTAATTAATTATTTAATTCATTGAAATTGTGGTTCATTTTGTGACCTAAATAAGAATTTGATTAAGTTTTGGGTAGGTAGCAGAAAGTTATGGAACTCAAAAACATTTTCTGTGCCATCATGCTAAATATGCACTGATGCTTTATTTATTATACCCTGATAATGTTTACACAACGTTCTGCAGGAGACCTATGATATTTTTCAATAATGCAGTTGCTTCTTTGTTAAAATTCCAATCATTGACTCAATGAGAACTTGGTACCAATGATACATAACATCCAACATCTTTAACTAGTCATGGCAGGATCTGATTTGTTCAGGTAGAATAGAAATTTATAATGTAGATCAATTGCACTCTGAACTACTTTGAGCACATCTAGCCCCAGAGTAAAATTGGAATATTATTTCTAATAAAAACACATAGAAAGGCAACAGCGTTCCATGTTTTGCTGTATGCTCTGTGCTGCAAAGTGATGTCTGCTGGCCACAATGCTGGCTATTTGGCTTAAGAAATGGAAATGAGCAGAGCCCTTTAAAGTCAGGGTAGCAGGGTAAAACCTGTGGGGACCCCTTTACCTTCTTTATTTCATTTTTTCTAATATATGAAAGTCAGTACTGTCATATCTTAATGCTGTCCTAGTCTAAAATGCCTTAGGTTTATAAAGTAGATTTTTGGTTCTCTACTCTGTGAAGCTTGTTATTACCGGTACTCTACTGAGTGAACAGAGCATGAACAAGCCAGTCCAAATCTATAACTGACACTATTTTTGATTTCTAGAAATATTAAGAAGATTGTAGGAATATTATGTTGTATGAATTTGCTTAAATGATAGAATTAGAATCTTGAGATTTTTTTTTATATCTACCATAAGAGTAGTAAAATATGTTCAACACCTAGAGCTTCTCTCTGTGTTGGCCCCAGTTCTTTGGAATGAATGTTATTTTTTATTTGTTGTTTCAATTGCACTGACTTAGCTTTTTGCTTGTTTAATTTATAAATTGCTTTGTGAAGAGTTTTTAATGGAAAAGAAGCCTATAGACAGTCTCAACAAAGTTAATAGTACTAAAAATATTACAGTTGAGTTACAGTATCCTTATTATTTCCTCCTCTACTTTCAATATGCCTTTTGTATTTCTTATATGCTATCAGGTTCGCAATTTCATAATTATTTTCATTTCTATTCTACGTGCGGGTGTGTGCAGTTGAAGGAATGCTTTGTGCGTGCTTGTATTTTCTGCATTGGAATAATTCCAGAGAGAACTTTTACAGCTGCAGTTCCAAGGTTGAGGTACCTTATTCAGTTTTAAAAAAACTTCACAGCCCAGGGGTTCTAGCTGTGATAGTTGGAGCTTAAGAAACATTCCACCACATATGAAGTAGGCAGCTGTATTTGAAATGGGAAAGCAACTTAGGGTTCAGCTAGGCAGGTAGGCAAGTAATTCAGAATCATGCATGTTGTATGCCTTTAAAGTTCCAATAGAAAAGAATGTCTGTAGCACAGGGTTGAACTGTGATAATCTTGATGCTTTCTGAACTTGATTGTTTTCATGAAGATGTTTATTACCTGGCTAGGAAACATTGTCACTGCTAGCATTTTTGAGGTGGATCACTTAGTCAGGGTGGGTGGTTTTATGATAGATTTTGTGTTTCTAATTTGCCACCATTTCCTCTGCTGATGAGGATATCCAGGAAGCGTAGTGTGGTGGTGTTTTCTTCTTCCCCGTGAATGTTATTCCTTTGAATATCTGTATCTTTTCAAGTTGTTTCTGTTTTAATATGACAAAAGTGTCATCCACATACTGGGATGCATGCTTTGGGTTGTATGTGTTGGGAATATTATAGTTTCAAGAGACTTGTTGCATATCTCTACTACTGTGTGTTGTCCTAAGAATACTGATCTCATAGGTTTTCCTCTGATTTATTGATATATCTGCATATCAAACTGAAAGAAGATAGTGAAGCAGGGGATAAGAAGGTCCATGATAATGGATATTAAGGTCTTACTGTTTTTGATTAGATTGGATATGTTACGTGGTACTGCTGCTATGGATTCTGTCATTGGTTCTGGAGCGTTAGCCCCAGTTCCAGCACTGAAAATGTTTCCTAGCTGGATGATGAAATGCACAAAAACGACCAAACTCAGAGAATACCAAGGACTCAACAGCCTTTTAAGTTGTTAGGCATTGTGTATTTGTTATAAACCTACTATTAAACACCTGCTGGTTATGGGTGTTGTGGTACAAAGCAGATAGAGGCACCTGCTTACCTGTCCCTGTGAGGTTTTAAGAGACTACAACATAGTCCTCTTTTTGTGTGCTATATACAAAAGAACATGAACCTAAAACCTAGTGTTGTAACCTGCATGTCCACTAATAAGTTTAGAATTAATTCAGTGATGGGCATTCACACGGATTGTTTTTGAGGTGCCTATTGTTTCAGGGACATCCTTGCCAGATTCCCCAGTATTTGCCATCCTGAGGCTAGGGAGGGGCATAGGGACTCTTTCAATATCATGGGACATTGATAGGCAGTTTTAGCAGAACCAGGCTAGAAAAAGAAACCCCCATTCCATAATCACCACAGAAAAACTCCAGCTGTCTTAATAGAAACCAGGTTCAGCCCAGCATTCTCTCTCTAACTTTCAGAGCTGGAAAATTCCTTCACTTTATATGAGCAATTTGTTAAAGACTGATGGGAGGAATACAGAAACGGGCCAGGCCTGGAACCTTCAAGGCTATTTTACACTCACGCTGTAGCTGGCTCTGACATGTGGCCATAATGTGAAAGGCATTTCCTGCTCTTGCTCTTGTGTGATATTCAAGAAAACCACCAGTTCAGATGGACTCTCATATTTCATTTGCATTTCAGGATTTTAACTTCTTGAGCATTTCTGTTCTTGCGAGGGTCACAGGGGTGTGGTTTTTAATTAGCAATTATTTGTTAATACATTGACATCACTAACTGATACAATAGTTAAAGTGCCATTGTATTAAAGCTGTGGTGGCACAGAGGTTAGAATGCAGAATTGCAGACTAATTCAGCTCACTGTTAGGAGTTTGATCCTCACCAGCTCAAGGCTGACTCAGCCTTCCATCCTTCCGAGGTTGGGAAAATGGGGACCCAGATTGTTGGGGGCAATATACTGACTCTGTAAACCACTTAGAGAGGGCTGTGAAGCAGTATATAAGTCTAAGTCGGGTGTCAAACTTGCAATGTCACGTGCAACTTTTTTTCCATTGCCGACAATGGGGTGGGCGCAGTTTCGGCATGACGCATCTGGCCCGTGGGCCGGCAGTTTGACACCCCTGGTCTAAGTGCTATTGTTATTGCTATTATATTTAGTGACCTCCTGGATGGGTGTGTCTTTCCTACTTAGCCCTTGAAGGTAATTTATTGGGGACAGGGAGGATGTGCTAAGGAAGGAGAAGCTAAAGCAAATGGTAGAGAAGGAGCCCTAAAGTTATAAGTAGCCCTTGAAAATATTGATTGCCACCTTCAAAACATGTTGCTAAATGGCTACTTTAATGTTTAATGTTATTTAATTTAAAGAGGACAATTATTAACTGGGTTAGGAAGTAATCTTCATAGGAAACCAAGTCTATTTTTTGTCATGGCCCTTTCTGTGGTTTTTGGAGTGCAGCCCTCAATACATCATTCAAAAGCCAAGTTTAAACTCTAATTTAAATTTTAAAAAATAATGAATCTTCATACTAAAGCCAAAAAAGGAAGCAGTTATACATTTTGTTTTTCTTTGACATCCCATTTACACCTTCTTCTCTACATACCTCTCATATATCCCTATTTCTTCCTGCTTCGCAGGCTTTCAGGAAAAAAGATCTGCTTTTGTTAAATTGCTTGGTAGCAAAGGGATCTGAAATGCAGTGTGAGTTACCCATCTCTGACCATGTGATCCTTTTTTTTTTTTTAAAGTGCTATGAGTTAGAATAAGAGTCCTGATGAATTGGAATATAAAGTCTTAGGATTGGTCCGAGATTTACAATGTGCAGAATTACTGCTGCTCTTTTAATAATATGATGCTTTTGCATCTATCTCTATCATCAACCAGTTTTTGTGAGATTACAACCTTAGTTCAGTTTCCAGTTCACTATTTGGTTGCAATTGACAGGGTAGATTAAATAGTCAATGACTTTTTTTTGAAAGCAAGATAAATAGATTGACAATACTTGGATTTGTTTTCTTTGTGTCTTCTCAAGATGATTGTGAGCCAACTTCCTATATCTGGTTTTCTCCAGTATGTTGGGACTACAGCTCAAGCGAAAAATATCTAACACATGTCAAAGGCTTCAGGTTGGAATAGACTGAACTAGAGTGCCTACAATTTCGGTGGAGAGTGCTATCCTAGTCAATATTTCTCTTCTTCTTTTTTCAGATATATGTTGGGGAAAGGAGGAAAACGGAAGTTTGATGAGCATGAAGATGGGCTGGAAGGCAAAGTGGTGTCTCCTACCGATGGTCCATCTAAGGTGTCTTACACCTTACAGCGCCAGACTATCTTCAACATTTCCCTTATGAAACTTTATAACCACAGGCCCTTAACAGAGCCAAGCCTGCAAAAGACCGTTTTAATCAACAACATGTTGAGGCGGATCCAAGAGGAGCTCAAACAGGAAGGCAGCTTGAGGCCTATGTTCCTCACCCCATCACAGCCTACAGATCCTCTTGGAGACAACTTTCGAGAAGCTCAGCCTGCCTTTAGCCATCTGGCCTCTCCGCCAGTCCACCCCACTGACTTAGCAAGCCCTACACCACTGGAGTCTTGCCTCACCCCTGCCTCTCTGCTTGAGGATGACACTTTTTGCACTTCCCAGACTATCTCACTAGATGGTCCTCCAAAATTACCACCTCCAACGATCCAACCAGTAAAGGACAGCTTCTCCTCAGCCTTGGATGAAATTGAGGAACTCTGTCCAACACCTACCTCCGCTGAGGCAGTAGTAACTACAGCAGCAGCAGATACAACTGCACCAGATAACTCTAAGGAGAATTCTAGTGAATCCAGCATTCAAAAGCCTGAGGGTATACAGGAGAACAGAATGAGTGAGCCTAAACTCATGGATTCATTACCTGGCAATTTTGAGATCACAACTTCTACAGGTTTTCTTACAGACTTGACCCTGGATGATATTCTCTTTGCAGACATTGATACGTCTATGTATGATTTTGACCCTTGCACATCCTCTACAGGGGCTGCCTCAAAAATGGCTCCTGTCTCCGCAGATGACCTCCTCAAAACTCTGGCACCCTACAGTACCCAGCCAGTAACCCCCAATCAGCCTTTCAAAATGGACCTTACAGAACTGGATCACATTATGGAGGTGCTTGTTGGGTCATAGATCGATAGCAACTTTTTAAACGCACCAGTATAAACCCTTGGTAGTATTTTCACAAGGCCCCCTCTCCTTCCAAGCCTACCAAGAAACACATAGACACACACAAATATGCACGCACGCAAATACACACATCACTGTGCATGCGTCTTTGCTTGTCTTTTTTTTTTTTTAAGGATCATACTTGTTTTTGCTTCAAGCAGAGTTGGAGTGCCTTCATTCACGTATGACCACTTTTAATGTATTTCTGAAAGTGGTTCCTCAAGGGAGACCTGAAATCCTAATATAGGAAGAAAGTGCATATTTTCAAACATAAATATGTTCGACAAAAAATGTAAAAGCTAAGCACAAGGATTATGTTGGGAAAAAGCTGTAAATTGCATGTGCATATTTGTCTATTTTTTCTATAAGTTTTATTGCAAGAGGTTAAAATATTATTTAGATAATTGCAGTACCTTTTTGGCATTTTAGCACTGTCTAGGTTGATTTAGCAATCCAGCCTTTTTAGAGGTATTAATGATTCCTCTTTAAATGTTGCATTTACATGGCTCTTTAGAAACTGCTACCCAAATTTATTTTATATTTTTGTATAGATTCTGCAATTTATGATATTGGGTTTTTTTCTTAGAAAAAGAAAAAAGAAACAAAACAAAATGCTGTTTGTACTCACATACACACAAAAAAGGAAATAGTTATTTTGGTAGGATTTGCTCACCCCATTCCTGCATATACCTTCTGATGTACAAGAACTGCTTGTAGTTTTATACAGACTTGTAGTGTTTTATATGCATATAATGGTGCAAAGAGAAGTTTGGATCAAATCAGTCTGCAGCTGGCCTCCCTGAATCCAGACACCCATGCTTGAAGGCAAAGACCAAGTTTCACAGATATTTACTCCCTGCTGCCTACTACTGTGATTAACAAAAACCTTAGAGCCATGTATATTCCAACACTGATGTCAAACAGTTGGCAAGAAATAGCTGTGAAACTTTATTCTGATGAAACTCCCTTGTTCTCCCTTCCCTCGTTCCGAAAGAATCAAGAAATAAAAATATATTCCCTCAAACCAAGCTTTTTTAAAAAAAATTGCAAAACAGATTCCATCCTTCCTCTGACAGAGTGTCCTTAGGTCTGTTGAGCTCAACCTTCTAATATTTTACAGCTTTCCTAGTGAGAAAGTTGTGTTCTTGGAAATAGCTTACTTTTTGGTAAGTGCAGTTGACAGAGTGCACAGTTGACAGAGTGCCTCGTTCAGATTCAAACAGTAGAAATGGGTGAGCATTGGTGTACTTCACTCTGCCTTGAGGTATTACCGTAGTAATGGCATCTAGTTTTAGAGAGTCACAATTTAGGCAGTTACCAGTTTTAAGGAGAAGCACGCTGTGGCTGTAGCAGATTTGTTTTGTTTGATTGTTTTGGATTTTTATTTCGTTTAAAGCCTGAAAGTAAGATGTGTTGAAATCAGTGGAGATTCCTTCCAAGAAACGGAGTTTAGGATCAGGAGTGGGAAAAGGCCTTTTATCTCTGTGACAGTGTAATTCTAATGTACCTTATTTCTTCTAATCATTCTTATGATTATTCTTGCCCTTTGCTTGGAACATTAATATTCTTATTCACTCTGTTGGCAAATGCTGAAAAAAAAAAGTCTAACTTCAGTATTACTGCAGTGAAATCATCTCTTATCAGCACTGGATGGACTCACTCAAGTATCCATTGCTCTTAAAACTGGAGCTAGTTGTGCTTTGAACACTTGGTATCTTTTTTGGGGGGTGGGGTTGGTTTCTTGATTCAACTCTGTTCCTTGCTTTATACTTTATAATGGCCTGTTTGACAATGTATTGAAACTGCAGTCTTCTATGCATGTTTCCTCCCCACTTAAGTCGTCTCATTTCTGCACCTGTTCCAATTTTCTCTCTCTCTGTTCATTGTGATGTACATTTGTGTTAAAGAAAACTTGCAATGTTATCATGCCTGTTGCCGAGATTGCTTATGGCATATTAATTTTAAATGGTACTTAATTGAGTGCAGGTTACAAACTATACTGTTGATATGCATATGGCTTCTTTAGGAATAACGTTTATATTTATTTAAGAAAATTTAAATTATGTTTATGTAATTTGGCAATATTCAGTTGGTTCTGCTTACTTCTTGTCATGGATTTCTTAAAAATTGGTCTTTTCTGCCTTTAAGATAGCAGCTTTATAAACTGGCACTTTAGAATGGGCCATATATATTTATTTAAAATGCATGTAATTTATTATATATAATGCACACAAAGTTTTTCATTTGTGTCCAAACTATCTGGTAATTAATTAGAGTGCTGCATGCCTATACTAAATATGCCATGCCAAATTATCAACTAAATCCTAATACGTTAATCAGATTTTGCTATCTTTCTTGAAAAGTTTATTTCATTTAAATAACCGTATAGTTATAATTTGAAGTTGCACATCTTTATAAGCAAGCATATTTTTCCCAATTCTTGCTGTTATGGGGAGGAAAAAGACAGCTGGCATATCCAAAACATTTAATTAGATGTTATAACAACTGATTTAGATTGCAAAATGCCTTGAACAAAGATTTCTTCTCTTTTGTTAGTCTGGTAATCACTAGGAATATCGCTGGTACTGTTATAAAATAACACCGAATTACAATTTCATTAGGAATTTGTGGATTTGAGAAGATTAAGTCTTTCAAATCTGGGCTACAGAAATCCAAAATACCACTAAACTGTAGCAAATTCTTTGCTTCCACCTTTTGGTTGTCCAGATCTTTGCAGAATTAGATACAGTAATCAGATATGGTAGAAAAGATGAAATAAGATGCTTGCTGATGTGTTACTAGCCAAATAGGATAATCTTGGGTGCAGATATCTGCAATGCTAGAAAACACTCAATTTAGTTTTAATCAGTTAATCAGGGTGGCAGCATCCCAAGCCTTTGCTGGAACAGTCTAGGTTTAGATTAAAATTAAAATGTCAAAGAAAAAAGTAAACAAACAAGATTTACCATTGTCAAAATCTGATTTTACACGTAATCTAGAAACAATACTTTCCTTTTTGGACAAGGTGATAAGAGTATATAAACAAGTACCACATGTTGGGCAGAAGTTCAAATTAACACCATTTTAGAGAGGAACAGCTTGTTTCCCAAATGCTAACCTTGCTATACAGAGCAAAGGCATTTGAAATGTTGAGCAGAAATCAGTCCTATGCAACATTAAATGATGCAAATGAGTATGATTGTGGCAGATAGGGCATCCACTCAATAGAATTAGGTACCCCAGTATGATGAGTGCCTCACAGATATACCAATTTAAACACTTCTGTCTCTATAATATAACCTCTCCCCCCCCCCATAAAGGATCAGAACTTACCGGACTACAAACTATTATTTTCCCCACTCTCCAAATTCCATCTTGAATGCTGGGGACATTTATAATGACAGAAAACATGCAATGAAGTGACAAGAAGAGAGCAGAATTAAAAAGAGCTGTTTGAATTTGAAGTGATTTTTTTTCCATTTTGTTTTTCATAAGTTATTTATTCCATTTTATTTTTCTTTTGTAAATATATTTATTTTATTGTGAAGCTAACAACATCTGGGTTGTAACATGTACAGAATGTATGGTAGGAATGTATTCTCTTGTAGGAATGTGAAATCCATACAAGAGGGAACTGAAAGTTAGATTTGGAGATTATTATCTGGGTTCTGTTCAGAATACATGTCATTCATCAGATCTCTCTCCCGCCTCTCCTGCTTTTCTCTACTGAGAGTCACTGTGATTCTATAGGACATGCAAAAAAAGAATTATAAACTTTTGTTATACAAATCAAACTTTGGTATCGCTGGGTATTTCAAATGGGCCAGATCCTAGTTCAAACAGCCAAATACAGCTTTGGTTTCAATGGGACTTTGTTGCATAATGTCTACTCAGGAGTAAGCCTCACTGAGTTTAAACTTACTCCTGAATAAGCATATACAGAATTTCAGTCTTAAAAGGCCTGAAGTGATACATTCTCACTCTGGTAGCTGGAACTGAATAAGGATGTACGTTAGCCTAAGTATATATGTTTGCTGATGAATAAAAGAAGAGTGTCTAAGATTCCTCTTCCTTCAAAATTGCACAGAAGCAGCGTGCACCACACAAGATTCACCCTAGAGAGACTGGGCAAAGCAAGCAGGCTTCTTGCAGTGGAAGATGATGTAAGGTGAAAGCAGCTTCCCGACCCGAACAGTTCAATTGCTTTGGCAACCTGAGCTTCACATCACAGCAATCTATTCCCCCCCCCCCCCAGTTTCAGTTTGAGTTGCTAGTGCTTAAAACCAGGAATTTTTAAGCGGGGGAGGGGCTGCCAAAATCCATTAACCAACTTAAAGTAAGATTAGCCTTTACTTTACACACAAGTGTGCCTTTTCGTCCGCAGAGAGAGTGTAAAGTGGCATAACACATCCTGTTTCAAAAATGCATATTTATAATTTGTCTCTTCAAATGATTAATGCATAAGTAGCTGTTTAAAGAGCACTGTTGAAAGTGACCAATTGTAGATCAAATATGGCAAATGTACAGTGCACTATTGTATATTGACACGTGCATCCAGTACCATGTCCTGATGAAGCTTCTCAGGAGAAAACAAAACAATGCAGAAAACAGTAAAAGAAGGAAAAGTGTGGGATTCCATGACAAAGTTGATTTTTAGGTCTGAGTAGAGCTAGCTGTAGTATATAATTTGCAATAACTCTTTGCTAGCTACTATATAGCTTTCAGATTAACTGTCCTAGACTTATGAAATTGAACAAGGAAGCCTCTAGGAGCAACATTGTAGAAATTAATATGGGACAAAATCTGTGAAAGAATATGTTCGTCTATTTGAAAATCAACTAAGAGCATTTGCATTCACATTTCTGTTGGATTTTGCAACTATGAATGCGCAGATGGGTGACCAAAATGTAGATTTGTTGGTGCAAATGTTTATCCCAAATTTCCAAGGATTAATAAGGGCCTATAATAGGTATAGTAAGCCATGCTGAAAGCGCTAACAAGTTTTGTGGAAGACTGTCCTATTGGTTTCAAAGAGAGATCCTTGTTTCCACTTTTTAAGACCCGTTTCATCAGCACAGAGGCAAATCTGACCTTGCAACCTCCAACCCTTCCTATAGGGAAGTGTTTCTAGACAAGCTCAAACGGACCTTAAGACCCTGGGTAAAATGCTGCAGGGGAGTCATTTTAGTTGGTGGAATGAAGAACGTTTGATAGGCTGGATGAACTGACTCAAAGCTCCAGAGTCACTTCTCCTATCTTTCTTCAGAACATTAACTGTGCTGGGAAGCAAGGTTGAAGGTCTAGCCTGGCCTTGGCTCCAGAGAGCAGACTCTCAAGCAGGCAGTGTTTAGGGTTCTCGGACAGAATTGTGGGCATTCTGTAGACAGTGCCAAGGAAAGTGCTCCAAAGTCCCTCTTCCTCTCAGTTTACTTGCAGGAGAGAGACTTCCCACATGGAAACTGTTGCCACCAACATTACTCTTCCTGATAGTTGCTCTGCTTTACAGTGAGAGACGGAATTAAGGCTGCCTTTTCAGAGAGGCCAGGATGAGAATAAATTATACCATATGATTTTTTCCCCCTGATTGTGTTGTAGAACTTGACTTGTGAATCTAAAGTTTACAGTTCGATAACAAACCATGAGCAAATGGACGTGCGCCCTCCTAAAATGGCTCATTGGATCTAGAATGTAATTGTGATTGTTAGAAAAAGAAAATCCAACACCTTGCTTTTATTAATATGCTTATAACATGTCTGAACTTTTTTTGGGGCGTGGGGGGGAGGACTTCCGCTCATTTTATAGTCATTTTTTTTTAATGTTAAAAATAATTCTAATGCTAATTTTTTTTTTTTTTTTTTGTAAGCTAAAACCTTGCAGATGCTTAACATTGTAACAACAGACAAGACTCTTAAAGCAGAGATTTCAGGGGCGGGGGAAGAGAAAGATGTAAAAATGAGGATATATTTGGTGCATGGTTGTTTTAAAACAAGGCTTGTTTTGTCCCAAACGCTGGTATTTTTTCCCTCTGCCCCCCCCCTTCCTATCCCGCGACAGACCTTAGAGCTGTGCCTTTTCTATGCAATATTACAGACATATACATCTGAAACCAGATTACTGTATTCACTTGTAGGTATGGGCTGTAATAATAATAAAAATGGGCAAATTACATGGAAATGAGCAGTCTTACTTTTGTAGTTTTATATTATACAATAAACAGTTTAAAAAGAAGCCTAGTTGTCTTCAGTTTTTTTTTAATAGGAGTCCTCAACTCCAAATTGCACACAAATAGAAAAGAATGAGTGAAAGTGAAGGACAAGATTTCTGGATTTGGGGGGGAGAAGGAATAGACCAGACATGTTAAACTCGCAACATCGTGTGATGTTGTGCAACGTATCAGAGCTTTTTCTCCATTGCTGCCAATGGGGTCGGCGCAGTTTCCTGGTGACGCGTCCCGCCCACGGGCCAGCAGTTGGACACCCCTGGAATAGACCGAGCCACATTTGGTACTTTATTTTTTCAATCTGAGAAATGGTGAGAAAAAAAACCCATACATTTGCTTTGGCATTCAAAGAAAATACTATCCATATTCAGCTGTTGATGGTTTTTGAACACGGGTAAGATAAAAGTTGGATTCCACCTGTTCATCCTATAATTCCTGTGATATGCCAAAGATCCCCTAGCAAATGCGCAATATTGTTTTTCAGGCATTGTTTTCTATATTAACCTGCTGTTTCCACATGAGATGTAACTGCAGAGCTAGATGGCCAATTCAACAGAAGATTATAGAGTGAGAGGCTTTTATTCAAGATTCCTGTCACTCTAGATCAGAGGTGGTGAACTATGGCTTCTTTATCAATTGTAGACTTCAACTCCCAGAATTCTTGAGCCAGCATAGCTGACTAAGGAATTCTAGGAGTTGAAGTCGACAAGTCATAAAAGGGCCATAGTTCCCCACCTCTGATCTTGATCATCCCTTCAGGGTAAGTGATCATTTGTATATGGGGAAGACACACCACTGTCCAATCTCAGCTGCATTTATTTCTTGACCAATACTTAGGGGGTATCATTTCTGTTCCTGAGACCATTTAATCATATTAATCATTTAATCATGACAAATTAAAAATGATGAATCCAGCAAGGCAATAGTTAAATCTATGGGTTTTTTTTTTTAAAAAAGCTGCTTGCTCTACCAACACCCTTGCTGAATGTGGTTTGTAGAAGAATTAAAGATGAAGAGGGAAATAAGACCTTCCCCCCCCCAAGGAAAATAGTTCTCATTGCCATCCTAAACTACCCCAGAATCTCAAAATAGGCTGAATTCATACTGCTGAAATGTGGGCATTTCAGGGATGATTTCTAGAGGCCCCAAATTGAATGCTGAAGGGCCAAAGGTCAATCCTGGTTATTTCATTCTGCACTATTGGTAAAATATTTCCAAGTGTTAAATGACAATTTATATTGTAGTTTTGAATGATGATTGTAGTTTTTGCTGAGATTTTTCTTGGGTTTCAAGTTACGTTAATATTCAGAAAGCTAAGGAAATTTAAATTAAACTCTGAATCAGTCACCTTCACATGCAATAACTTGCACCAATGGTCTTGGAGAAAATAAGGTGGGCAAAGAAAAAAAGGGTCTTTGAAGTTGGTGAAACAATTCAAAACCTTGTAGAGGTCTGCTAAATTTGAGGCAATTCCTTCCCTGAGTAACTCTAGGAGAGACCTTTGTGGAATAAAGAGGTTTGCTCATGTAAGAAAACCTAAAACAAACATATCAAAGCTGATTATGGAAAGATGCTCTGTTTGTGATTGCACAGATAGAGGTGTCATTTCCAGCCACAAGTCACCAGGGCTAGAAAATCTCTTCTTAATACAAAATCTTGTTTTTAGATTTGTGCCTAGATATCCAGGGCAATCTGAAATCATGCTCCCACACTCTTTTCAGATTTTTGCATTTCGGGTTGATTTGGTCCAGAATCTGGTTCTTTGTGTTCACCCCCCCCCCCCAAAAAAAAAACCCCAAGTGGGTTTTTATACTTCTCATATAATGTTTACTCTCTCTCTCTCTCTCTCTCTCTCTCTCTCACACACACACACACACACACACACACACACACACACACAAACACACATATAGAATGTTTTTTCTTGAGACAAGAGTTTTAGGAAAAGATTTCTGAATAGAGCGAGCCCACAGTATTTACAAGTTATGGCACGTGAAAGCCATTTCCCCACTGCTGGCTTAACGTACCATAATATCTTCTTTGTGTCAGCAAAAACTATGCGCTCATAAATTTGGTTGTCTGGATCACTTGAGTTGGGAGGGATTGTTTGCCAAATTGTGTTTTTCTGATTTGTGGGTGTGCCAGAATACCTTTTTTTTTTTTTTTACCACTTCTCTCTTCTGCTGCAGTCACCCTTTTCCTTCAGCAACTTCAGCTGTGAGCAGGAATTATTCATAAATGCTACTACAAGGAAAAGCAGGGCTCCCTTATCCATGCCATTTCCAATTTACCTTTGTGCCATTTCACCTTCCAGATTTCTTTCATCTCTTCTCTACTGTAGAAGCACCTGTTAGTTTATGCAGGCCAAAACATTTGAACATTCAACAGGAAGGCACAGTTGCCAACACCGTGTCAGGAAAGCCACTGACCTGGATCAGTGTCAATGTCCAGGTAGTTTTCTTTCCTTGTACAGGCCTCATCACTATACTTTCTGGAGTAAGTGGTTGTGATTGTAGGTTGTATAGGTGGAAGGAGAGAATCAGAGAAACAGGAATAGATGGTGAAAGATAACAGCTTCTGAGCAGGTAAACTGATTTATTTCAAAAGGGCTGGCCGGGATATCCCGGGGCCAAATCCTAAATAGGAGGGCAAACACTGAGAAATTGGGGTAGGAGATGCCATTTAGTCTCTGAAAGGGGGCATGATCATACTTTGAATATGGCTAACAAGAGCTGTGATGGCATACTGGTTAGTGTTGAGTCCTTCGCGAAAGGCAAGACACGAGAAGCAGATGTAGTTCTCAGGTTTTCTTTTATTCTGTGTTCAGGTTACAGATGAAGGCTTCAGCAACGCCCAAAAGCTCCCAGCCTCTTATATAGGCAATTCCCGGGTCAATGTGTTACTTTTCCCGCGCCAGCACCCGCGCATGCGCACAGGCGCTGGTGACAGCCTGTCTGGTCCCGGGCAGCTTGCACCTGCCCGGGACTGCCTGCAAACGCCCCGAGCCCGTTTGCAAGGCTCGGGACATAACACCCCTTTCCCCCGGGCTAAGACTACTACCAACATACAATTATTTCTTGATGCAGTGTTCTACTCCCCAGTGCTCCTACTGTTTACTGGCGTTTGTTTAGCCAGCAATGTTATGTAATCCTCTAAGTACTTAGGAGATTTCCTTGCTCTCTGTGACCTTCTCAGCTCTGGGTTTCTGACAGGTGTTCCCTGACTGAAGGGAGACGTGAGCCTGTTCTCCTTATCTTGCCTTGGTGCCTTCCAAGGACTGTGCCCCAATGCCTGGCCTGCTTGCTCGCCCACCGGGCTCGTCAGGCCAGGGCTTCTGTCACTTTGTGACCTGGTTGATCTGCCTAGCTGTAGGCCCTCGGGCCCCTTGAAGTGATAGCCACTGCTGGGCGTCTCTGTAGAACCTCCTAGGTCCGTCCAAGACCTGTCAGGAGGCTGTCCATTCCCTAAACCCCGTTCTATGTTCGGGCTCGTGTGGGTTTCTGTACCTTCCCAAAACTCAGTTACTCCCTGATTTGGGCTAGAGGTGTTGCGGTCGGGACTTGGTTCCTTGACCACCTCCCTGTATGTTTGACCCCCTGTAGGACTTGGGGTAAGGTCAGGCCAACTCTGGGGATTATGTGCCAGCTCTCTTGCGGGGTACGATTTATTGGAATGCTCCCGGGTATCCTCCCTGACTGGAGTACTGTGCTGTGCAGGTGAATAGTGATTGTACCCCCAGGGTGACTCCCTGGCTGGAGTAGGCGTGAATGCCTGGTAGTTGGATAGGCTCTTAGAATTCCTGTTTGGGGCACTCGCGGAATCTTGGAATGGGCCGTTTGTGGCTCCATCATTGGAGGTGGGCAGCAGCTCGTGCCCCTCCCTTTGCTCTAAAGGGTCCCCCTCCCCCCTGGAAAAGACCCAGGAGTCTCATCTGGAAGATCCCACCTAGGGCGGAGTTGGTCGATGTGCCGGCATAGGACACGACCGTTGTCCAGGGCTACCTCGTAGGATAGAGGACCTGTGACCCTGGAAATAGAAGCGGGGACCCATGTATGACCAGGCCCGTAATTGCGAGTCCAAACCGGGGCACCCACAAGTAGTTGTCTAAGTGCCCTAGGGTGTGAGGTAGGTAAAGGTAGTCTGTCCGGATGCAACCGGTCAAGCTTCGTAGTCAGTTTGCGCCCCCAGCGAAGTTCAGCTGGGCTTCTCCCTGTAGAAGTGGACGGTGTGGTGCGATAAGAAAGGAGAAAGTCAGCCAACCTGTGATGCCAGTCCCCATAGGTGAGTTTCTTCAGGGCGTCCTTGGTGATGCGAACCATGCATTCAGCCATACCATTGGTGGACGGGTGGAAGGGTGCAGAAGTGGCATGACGAATCATGTTGGCCTGCAAGAAAGCTTGGAATTCGGAGGAAGTAAATTGAGGGCCGTTGTCAGACACAATGACATCTGGGAGCCCGTGTGCAGCAAAAATCCCCCTCAGTACCTGAATAGTCTTTGCAGTGGTGGTGGATGAGACAGGTACAACCTCAAGCCATTTTGAATGGCTGTCAACGAGGACCAAGAAGAATTGGCCCTGAAAGGGCCCAGCGTAGTCAATGTGCACCCTAGACCATGGGGACTGTGTTTCCTCCCATCTATGCACAGGAGCTTGGGGCATCTCTGGGCGAGAGCGTTGGCACAGGTGGCATGCATGCACCTTAGCCTCAATGTCCTTCTCTAACCAGGCCACCACAAGTGGCTGTGCGCAAGGGCCTTCATTCGAACAATGCCAGGATGACCCTCGTGGAGGGAACCTAAATCCTAGTCCTCATTGAGGTGGGAATGACAACTCTGTTTCCCCAAAGCAGACAACCCTGAGAGGTGGACAACTCGTTCCTTTTAGACCAGAAACTCTGAAACTCAGGACTAGGACAGTGCTCAGGCCATCCAGACAAAACCCAAGCAAGGACACGTGAAAGTGTGTGATCTGTGCCCGATTCAGCAGCTACATCCTTGGCGTTCAGAGGG